ATGGATGCATCTATGGAAGTATTAGAGGCACGGATGTCCATAGTTGCACAGGCCGGATCTGGTTGGGCTCTCCATCAGAACCACGCTCTCATTCCGGAAATGGGCACGTATGAGCCATTACAGGGAAGCTCCTACATTGAACTACCGAAAGACATCCATGATACTAAAGCATTGGTAAACATTAAGAATGATGACCAGCAATGTTTCAAGTGGTCTATCTTGGCAGCCTTACATCCCGCTTCAAACCATGCCGAACGTCTTACCAACTATCAAGACTACAAGGAGGAGTTAAAATTTGACGGAATTGAATTTCCTGTCCCCATTCATCAGATATCTAAGTTAGAGAAACAGAATCGTGGCATTAGTATCACTGTCATTGGTATCACGAATGATGAGAAGTACAAAAAATAAGGAAACAAGGGTAAGAAAAAGACTGTACAAGAGTCCACTCTGATGAGTATGAGAGTCCCTGATAAGAAACTGTAAAATCATGTTTCTTTGCTGTACTGGAAGAAAGGTGATAGAGAACATTATGCCTGGGTTAAAAACTTTAACCGACTTCTTTCAAGAGTAAACAAACACAATGAGCAGAGATACATTTGTGATAGATGTTTCCAAGGCTTCACCCACCCAGATTTACTGGAGAAACACCAAGAAATGTACCGTCATTTCCCAGCCCAGGTAACAAAAACAGTGGACCAGGAAATAAAGTTCACCAGCTGGGCCAAAACAGAGCCAACTCTGTTCTGTCTCCATTGGAGATTTTGAGTGCATACTCAAGGAAATAGAGACCACTAATGACAGTGGAAAAACTAAGAAAACGCAAAAGCACATCCCCTGTAGTTTTGCTTCGGTTCTGATTTCTGAACATCCAGATGTTGACTCACGCACAAAGCTGTACCGCCACACACCAACCCCAGACATGTCTGTAGAAGAAGTTGGCGAACGAGCGATGGATGAGCTAATTACAAGCCTTCAAGAGTTAGAAGAAGAGCTGAAACCACTCCTAGCTGAAATTAAACCAATGGACTTGACCGAAGAACAGGAAGCTGAGTTTCAAGCAGCTACACATTGCTATATGTGTGAGCAACCCTTCACAGCCGCATCCTATGAAACGGGACCAGCTGATGGCACTCCAGAAGAGGCAGAAAAGAAATTAAGGGTTCGAAAAGTACGCGATCACAATCATGCTACTGGAGAGTACAGAGGGGCTGCCCACGCTGGTTGTAACATAAACAAGAAACGACTCAAACGTATACCACTTTTCTTTCAGAATCTATAAGGGTATGACGGCCATTTAATAATGCGTGGAATCCGCCGTCACTCTGGTAAGAAAGCTAACAAGAAGAACAAGGCAGAGAACCGATATAAGAACATTCGGCTTATCCCGAACAACATGGAACGGTATGTGTCATTCCAGTTGGGGAACCTGAGGTTCCTGCATTCGATCCAATTCTTTGGCCCAGGTTCAAGTCTAGATACCTTAGCAAGTACCTTGAATGATTTCCCCATCCTAGAAGAAATGTTTACCCAAGTCTGGGACGTTACACCCGAAGAGTTGGAGTTGCTATGTAAGAAAGGGGTATACCCTTATTCTTACATGGATAACTCCTACAAATTCAATGAAACAAGTCTGCCTCCAAAAGAAGACTATGATAATGAACTGACGAAAGAAGACATCTCCCAAGAAAAGTACGAGTTTGCTCAGACAGTATGGAGTACAATGGGCTGTGAAACGTTGGGGGACTATCACGATATCTATCTTTATCAGGATATATTCCTCTTAGCTGATGTCTTCGAACAGTTCAGAGATGTTTGCCTGAAAAAATATGATTTGGATCCTGCTCACTACCACACAGTACCAGGATTGGTATGGGATGCTTCTCTAAGATTACCGGTGTGAAATTGCGCACTCTAAGAGACGAGGAGATGCATATGTTCCTTGAGCGGGGAATGCGAGGTGGTATTTCTACGATTACTCACTGCTACGCCAGAGCTAACAAAAAGTACCTGAAGGACCACGATCCTGAACAGCCTAGCAGCTTCAATATCTACTATGATGCAAACAACTTGTCTGGATGGGCTATGTCACAACCGCTCCCTATCGGAGACTTTGAGTGGAAAACAGAGTTTGAAGGCTTTGACGTGAATGAGATTGCTGACGATGCAGAGATTGGCTACATTCTAGAGGTTGATCTGGAATACCCAGAGGAGCTCCATGACCTTTAGAACGATTACCCCGTTGCCCCAGAGAAGATAGAAATCACTCCAGAGATGATACATATCCTTACTGCCAGCAGTTAACCACGCATTTAGAGTACAAACCCAGCAAAGTGGAGAAGTTAGTCCCTAATCTGTGGCCTAAGGGAGGATACATTTTGCATTACAGAAATCTGCAATTATATCTTTCCTTACGGATGAAACTTACAAAGATTCATCGTATCCTCAAGTTCAAACAGCAGACCTGGCTGAAGCCCTAGATCGAGTTGTACACCAGACTGAAGGCTCAAGCGAGTACTAAGTTTGAGACGGATTTTTCCAAGCTTATGAATAACTCCGTCTTTGGAAAAATCATGGAAGATGTGAGGAAGAGGATCAACATTAAACTTGAGTTTGAACCATCCATGTTCAAGAAGAACGTAGCTAAACTAACCCACAAGAGGAGTGTGGTGTTCGTATCTGATGAGGAGAAGAAAGACTACTTCGTGGGGATGGACATGAAGCGTTCCACTATAATCCTTGAGAAACCTATTTACACAGGTTTTAGTGTGTAAGACCTCTCTAAATTGTGGATGTACAACTTTCACTACAATCACATGCTTCGCAAGTACGGAGCAGAGAAGATTAAGTTACTGTTCACAGATACTGACAGATTAATGTACCAAATCCAGACGGAAGATGTTTATAAAGACATGCAAGAAGATCAAGACCTCTTCGACACCTAGCGCTTTTTAAATAATTTTGTTGTTAAGTAAGACTTTAAGACTTTTTATTTTATTTTTTATTAAGAACTTTTTAATTAGACTTAGTAACATCTTTTTATTAAGAGCTAATGAGAACGTTTTCTATCACTTAGAAAAAAGGGCGGCCTACGCTAGGTAGAAGCCACATTTCCCGCTTTGTAACTTTAAGGTCTTTCAAAAATAAACCATTATGAATGGTAAAAGCCTGGTCTTCCTTTGCCTCGTCTATGTATGGTTGGTTCTATCTCAGAGTCTTCAGACTCATATTATTCAGAATCTTGAGATTTTCAGAGTCTTCCTCAGAGCTATAGGCTTCAAAGGTTTTCCACTCCTGTGATACTCGAGATCGCTTTAAAGGGGGTTTTCTAGGTATAACTGGAGGTCTCTTTATAGAAACCCTACTAGACAGTTCTTTTGTAGGTTGATTTATTTGCTTTCTTGAGGGCTGTGTTGTAGACGTTTGTTCTCTCGGTGGTTGTACACTGGATTGAATAATATTAGGATAGGAATTACAGCCTTCTAAAATGTCAAACACCACTTGTTGTTCTTTCGCGGTTCCCGATTGATTATCAATCAACATTGCACACTTCCATAGGGCTTTTCAGTTTCCTGCTCATAGACATCCATGAATTTAGGTCAACGTTTTGCAAAAATGCGATCTGCTAGGATATCAACTTGCTTACGATCACTGGGACTTCGAAACATGACAATATACTGAGTGTTGCGAGCAATGTCTGTATTAAATTTCCCCTTAGGGAACATATTTGGAGGCAGTAAGGTAAAACTGGCATTCCTATGTCGTCCTCGGGTAAATAACCGGAATATAATTGGACTATCAACAGCCTCCCCCATCAAATCATCAAACACAAATATGTTTTTGTAATTTGTTGAAATTTCACGTAAGTCGTCACTTATGTCTTCCTTAAGTTCACTCAATCCTTGAATAAACTTGATTTCATTTCCAAGCTGTTTCGCTAGAGTTTTATAACTGTCCTACCATTAGATTTGACGGGGTTTTCCTGGATTGGGGTACCTTATACATTTCTTGGTTAGAATTTGCTTCTCAAAGTGAGTTTTTCCACTTTTAGTTGGTCCTACCACGATCAGATTAAACATTTGTTCTAGTTGGAAGTTAGGGTAAGGACAGATCTCCAAATGATGTTGGGGAAAAGATTCAGTCGCCATTGTATTACAATACATCACTGATCTTAAATACGGTTGACGATCTTCCACTGAGAGTTGATGGACTTGCCGTAAATGATCACTGCATGAGTTTAACAATATTCGCTTTCCTACATATTGGACATACTTTTCTATATTTATAAGGCATGATGTTACCTCTTTCATGTCTAAAGGCAAATGAACTATTAAACAACTTGTTGCTATTTATAGATTGTCGAACGTTCCTATTTATGTAGGGACTGCGTAGGGACTTAAAAAAGAGTTCGAAATTTATGTAGGGACTGTGTTGGGACTTAAAAAAGAGTTCGAAATTTATGTAGGGACTGTGTTGGGACTTAAAAGAGTTTCAGCATGAAACTTAGAATAAATATCACGCACTATGAACACGTTTACGAAGACGTTCGCTTTTGAAAATTACAAGTGAGTGAGTGAGTTCTGTGAGTCATTCATACTAAACGCGAGTGAGTCCCGTGAGTTATTAAAAAATAATCGCGAGTGAACCCCACGAGCTATTCATAATACACGCAAGATAGTTCATACGCGTGTACAATTTTCGCTGTGCTGTCGAAGTACATCCGAAGTGGACTTTTCAAAGTTATCACTCACTAAAATGCACTTAACTCTCAAAGAAGAAATATATGAGCGGGTCTGTCTATATGTACTGCAAAAATTTAGTATCTCGCTGATAAATCATGTTTGGGAATTGGGAGCCCTGAAGCGCGAACTCGATGAAGCTTGAGAGGCGAGAATACTAAATTATTCAATGAAGTTTCGCAGAATTGTAGTTTGCTAGCCAGTTTAACATTTTCGGCTTCTAAACTCGCATTCCTTACCTCAAGTGAACTCTGATTTGATTTCGGAAAACTATGTATTCTAGATCGACTGATATGATAGCGATACGTTCTGTATGTATAAGACCGTTGGTTCAAGTCTCCTTTTACTAGCTATGATATATAAGGTTAGAGTCGCTTAGCTTTGTAGAGTTGATTTCGATAGTTTATTTCACTAGCATAGATAGAAACTTATTCTAAGGCATGAAATGATAGAGGACGGTCATCTTGGATTAACTAAGAGGTTTGAGTGCGCTTACCGGTTCAAGTCCGCTTTCAGGAGTACTTAACCCTATAGAGCATATAGTTGGTTTCTTCTCTGATATTCCATATCGCATTCAACTCTATATGGGCTATGTGAGGACTGTTTCAATGAAGTCTAGTCCGCTGTTTAAGGTCTAACGAAAGATTTTTATTTGCATAGGGACTGTAAAAGAGGAATTAAGAGCTGATGTCAGTAAATATCGACCTGAGGTCTACAAAAGTGAAAAATCGAAAATTCTCAAAAAAATTCACAAAGTAGCTCTAGGTAAGCTATTAACATAAATGTAATTTTTACTTCGATCCGATGATTATTTTCGACGTACGGGAGGGTTATTGACTTCGCGGCTCTCGGACCGAGTTTTACAGGACCGAAACCACATGTCACAAAAACTCGTTTTAGAAACTAAATCAATTGTAATGCGAACAACAAATAACGTATTCAGAAAAGTACATAATTGTACACATTTTAAGAGGTGATTTACTCATTTTGAACAAAAATGTAATATTTTGGAGATTTTTCATTATTTTCAATATTTTCAACGTTTTCGTTCGATGAAAAAATGGCAAATCTCAAAGCCCAAAATCGTCGACTGGTACCTCGATTTCAGTAAGGAGTCTTAAACCACGTTAGAAAGCGTCATCTCTTCTTTCGAAATCTGTTTTCAAAACTATGGGCAACTTAAAAAAAAAAATTTTGAGGCCAAAAAATACAAGTAGTACTTTTCTGAAAGTTGAGCTTTCCAGACTCAGCGGGCCGATGCTAAAAACTCGGAAAAATACAACAAGAAATCAGTTTGAGGAACTGAGGTTTAACGTCATCAGCTTTCAGAAACCAATACGTGTTTATACAGCGATCTGATATAAATTAAAGCCGTTTGCTATCAAGAAAGGCGGACTTAAGCTGTCAACGCCTGCCAAGTGCACCAGTCACGTGAAGTTGTCAAAGGGAGGGCAAAGCACTAATATTAGAAAGTCTTAAAACTCAAAACGTTTCATGTCCATGAAATCACATTTTACTGTACAAAACAATGTTGTGAATGTCTGTTGTTCGTACCTTAGCATGGTGTTTACGTATACTGGAAATGTCACGTATCCATCCGGGAGAACATACGAACACAGGAGCTCATCAAATGGAGCCTCCATCTCCCATACAAGCCCTTGGAGTCAACCCTTTCCCGAGTAGATTTATAATTAGAACGGTTCCCAGGGGAGACTTCGCGCGCCGACGATGGGAAGAGCCAATCACAACCACGAAATGACACTGCTATTGTACTTCATCAAACAGCAGGAAATTCGGTGTTGACAGGCCAAACACAATCATAAGCTAGTGAAACGTGACTTTAGCGTTTTCATCCCTCAGAGATTTTCTTTTTTTTCTTTCTAGTAGGTAGATTATACTGTGGAGAGTTTTAAACTCTGACTATGTTAATCTTAATTTTGGTTGCTTGTCTCACATTAAGAGGCCATGAAGCTGGTCTGTTACATGCATAATGATTAACTACTACCTGCAGTCTGTAGTTGTGACAGGATTCGCTTTCTTTAGCCAATTTTTTGTAGCGTTAAGGTTCTTATTTCGGCTAAAGGACTCAATATTAATCAAATTTCTAGTTTTTCAAGGTTTTTTTTTTTCCGAAATGCGCTTATCTGAATAAATACTTATAGCC